GTTAGTTTAATTCAAAAAAATATAGTATTACACTAGGTTGCTTGAAAATAGCAAACTATATATACCTGTTTTATTAAGCTCTTTCATCAGTTTAGGTAATTTAGTTTATGTAAAAGGAACATTTAAAATAATTAAACATTTTTATTCAAGACAGTTAAATTGTTTATTTGAATCACGGACTAGGCACTCACACAGCTTTATTTGTGACTTTCGTGACGTGCTGGCGTAGTAGCTGTAACACGGACCGATGATGGTGATCAAGTGAAACACTCGGATCATTAGGCGCTTGGTGATCCATAATCATGGTTAGACTACTTCTCGCTTCCAATGTATCAATGTACTCTGTGTAGTCATTGTCACTATTGACGTGACGAGATGGGAAGAACTTTTAACATTTACGAGCCCCTTCCCACTTCAGTTGGCCCACTTCAAGATTTGTACAAAAATATGCCTTTATAAACTAAACATGACAAAACTTACTACTTCTAAAACAATTTATTTTCTCAAAAACATTTTAGATACACCCTAGTTGTAAAAAATACATATTTGAAATCACTTAGTCCTATAAATAATAGAACATATGAACATGTAAACAATGTGTGAATAAATGCGCGAAGTTAACAAAGCAACAACTGAAAGATTACTATTGGGTAACAACACCTTCATTTTTTAGTACAGCTCAAATTCTTTGCGGCATAGTGTTAACCAAGTTTTGTCAAAAATTTGGTGTAAAAAAATCCCATATTTCTTGAAGCTTTTGTCTAAGTTCGATGATTGTACGAGCAGGGTGTTGTAGTAGAACCTTTTTCATCTCGTGCCACAAAGATTCAATAGGTGACAGATCTGGATTGCTAGAAACCCATTTCAAAAGTGGTACATTATATTCTTCCATCCATTTTATAGCCGTTTTTGAGGTATGGCACGCTGCACCATCTTGCTGAAACACAAAGTCTTGGCCGGATGTCAAACATTCTTCCATCACTGGTAAAAGCGATTCTTCTAAAATTGCCAAATATTTGTTTGTATCCATATTTCCATCAATAAAATGAAGTTTTCCTACTCTTTTTGATGACATACTGCCCCAGACCATAATGGATGCTTGACATTTCACTTTTCTTTTCAGACAGTCAACATAGAATGCTTCATTTTTTTGGGAATAACTCTACTACGACTATCACCAACACAAACTTCGAATCGGACCTCATCACTCCATTGTATTGCACACCATTGTTGAGGTGTCCATTGTCTATATTGTTTAGCCCATCTAAGCTCATTTTTCTTTTGTAGTATAGTTAATAGTGGCTTTTCTTTGGCCTATAAATAAGTTGTGCAAATTTAGTGTTTTTTACTTCACTTTTTTTTATAAGAAAACTTACCTTGCAAGTGCTAAATCCCAGTTTGTGGGCCTCTCCATGAGTTGTGGACTTCGAAATTCTCCTTCCAACAGCGTCACTCTACAGAGCACTTAATTGTAAATATACTAAGTGACATGTAAATCCGAACACCCAGTTTAAATGGTTTTATTTTAATAAAATTTCGTACAAGTACTTAATGAAGCATACTAAGTAAATGATAAAAATTTCAAAATGATTGCACTGCTTTAAAGCCCTTTGACCTTTAATAATGTGTGGATGCACCTTGATGTGCTACGCATTCTCCAACGCGCCTAGGCAAGCTTCTGATCAGGTGGTCAATGTCCTCCTGTGGTATCTCATTCCAGGCAACCACCAACTCCTCTCGAAGTGCTTCTAGAGTCTGAGGAGGACGTTGCAAATTGAGCAATCTCCTACCCATCATATCCCACACGTGCTCAATTGGGGATAAGTCGGGAGATCTTGGTGGCCATGGTAACAATGTGACATCATTTTGTTGAAAGAAGTCTATTGTGACTCTTGCAACACGTGGTCGGGCATTATCTTGTTGGAAAGTTGGATCTGCCAGGGTGTCAAGATAGGGTAAAAGATGGGGTTCTAGAACTTCGTGGATATAACGCTGCGCGTTCATGTTACCTCTGATGAAGATTAAAGGTGACCTGGAACCATAAGCTATAGCACCCCAAACCATAACTCCAACAGTGTGATGAACATGTCTTTCAACAAAAAACTGTGGATTCCTCCTTTCACCACGTCGCCTTCTAACCCTGGCATGACCATCGTGCATGCCTAAACAAAATCGAGACTCGTCACTAAAGACAATACTGTTCCGTTCCTGATCCCAGAGTGACCGTTGTCTGCACCACTCAAGGCGATTACGTCGGTGTTCTCGAGTTAAAGGGAGGACCCAGTGTGGCCGGTATGAAAACAAGCCAAGACTTCTCATTCGTCGGTGAACACTTCGCGTGCCAATAGGTCTTCCGTGTTCTGCAAACCATTCATTTGCAATGGACTTGGTAGTGGAGAAACGGTCCCTTAAGGCCAATAATCTTAGGCGGCGATCTTCTCGGTCTGTTGTTCTACGGCGGTGTCCAGTGCCCCTTGCTCTTTGCGTACGGCATTCTCGAAGCCATGCCTGACAACACCTAACCACAGTGTCTACACTTCTTTGCACTCTAACTGCAATTGCCCGAAAAGAAAGTCCAGCTTCCCGAAGACCCACTATACGGCCCCTATCAAACTCACTAAGTTGACGAAATCGTACAGGTCTCCGTACTCTAGGCATCGTAACCGATCGTAAACGATGTCAAGAACCAAAATTCGCCAACGTTGATTCTTTACTGCGGCTGAAATATTCATTTTTAGAGCGTTAGTGAATTAAAAAAAGGCAGTACAAAAACCGGAATGTCCAACTGATAAGGTTGAAAATTTTTTCACTTGTTATTTACAGTAACATAAATACATTCACCAACTTCTATTAAAATAAAACCATTTAAACTGGGTGTTCGGATTTATATTTATATTTAGTATAATTGGCACGCCTTATTCTTCTTAATGCTCTTCGGTCGGCATTTGTGATATTACTTTTTTCACATATCGTAGCTTAATATTAACTGAACCAGTTACGTTAAATCTTCTAGCAATATTTCTCACATTGTACCACGATAAATCTAACAAAGTTGCAATTTCTGATTTTGATTTCCCAGAATTAAAAAATTTAATTATCAGTAACCGAATTTTCTCACTAATAACCTTTCCTCTACCCATTTTGAAAACCTTAACTGCCCAAAACTATTTTAAACGTATTCTGACAGCTGTGATTAATAAAAACAATTGTCATGGCTTTTATTTTTCACAGCCACCTATGCGTGATAGACTTATTTTGCATTGAAATGAAAATAGGTTGATATGCTGTAATTGCAACATGTGTTATTTTTATGCTGCAAATTTGATCAGGGAGTGATAAAGTTGGTGTTTTCTACTATATATTATCAAAATATTCATTGTTAAGATTTTAAAGCTATAACACCCTGCTACATTTTTATTATTTGTGTTTGATAAGAAAAAAACTAAGATTTCAATAGTTGGGCCAACTGAAGTGGGAAGGGGCTCGTACTTGTGCAGTCATATTTAGGTCAATGAGGGGCATTTCTACCAATCGGCTTGATGTGCTATTCTTTTGAAACAATAATTCTAAGATGTGCCTTTTGTCAAACCGCGGATATTGATAGAAATATTTTTTTTATGTTCTGATGGTTCACCGATGTCAGACTGTTGCGTCAGAGGCGTAGCACCATTAATGCTCTGGGGGATTATGAGAGCATATATGGGATGTGGAGCATCCTATTGGTACAGACTTTGTAGTGCTTGAAAATATCCTAGCTTTCTTCAAACTGATGTCGAATTTATTTATATATGTGAATGCGTTCCTCGCATGTGAGTGCAAAATCGATTTATTATTAGGAATAAGAGTAGATTTTTTGTACGGATGGGGTGGCCTTATTAAGTGTAACTTACTCTTTTTCCTACTTTCTGAATTCAAAATAAAAATTTGTAACCAGGCAATTGCTTCTGGACAATTAGGCAAACAATTGGTAAAACTTGATCCCATATATAATAAGTTCACAATCAAAAGAAAAAAAAATAATTTGGTTAGGGTTACACAACTCTGAAGTTTTTATTTTGATTCGAAGATATCAATTAAAAATATCCAGTTTTTTTAATTTTTTGATATCTCAGATTTGTCAGAACACAGTTATACACATTAACCAGTAAAATACAATAACCCCAATCCCCAATATTATCTAAATCAGGAGTCCCCAACGAGGAGGGCGCGCCTCCCAAGGGTGGCATAGAGAGATGTCAAGGGAGCGGAAAGCGTTTGCATTTCAGAAAGAAAAAATAAAAAAAATAAATAAACACCATTAACAAATAACATTACAATGTAATGTTTAATCTACACGCATAAAATGAAATTAAGTATCATATTCACTTATTTTGTCAACCGCTGTTCCTAAGCCCGGCCTCGTCAATCGCAGTTTATACAAGTTTCGAGAAGTCACAACATGAAATCCGCGTGCACCCCCGCCGCGTTCCGCTTAACATTGATCACTTAGACTTAGAAAACAATTGTGTACCTACCAGACGCGGATGAGCATCTGTAACATTCATTCTCATAAACTTGCGAAAAATTTGACTTTTCGATGTACACGTTTTGTTGAGAAATCTGTTTGAGTCTGTCAAATTATTGTGTCTCACTGTTAAAAGGTATGTTTGTGTATTTACAAACTTCAGTTACCATTTTTACATAATTTACTAAATTGTTGATTGAGTGGAGACGCGTTCATAGATCGGCCATTGGGTCTTTTTACCACATCACAATCAAACCCACGTGCCGAAATAATTTTGGTACGACGAACTTTAAGTACGTAATGTTGATTCCAAATGTATTTAAAATTACTATTATAACGTCAACCTGCTTACAAAAATATAAATCTCCCGGTGGCTAATATACTGTTGGATACATTACATTATTAAGATAAGATAATGTACATATAATTAATAATTACAGGTAGATATTTTGCTTATATATTTATTAATTATTTGTTTTATTGTTATAGTTGCAAAATGGCAGCGAAAAAAAGCAAGATTCCCGAAGAATACTTCAAGTTTGGATTTACCTTCATAGAAAAAGACGAGTTACAATTGTCTCAGTGTGTGATATGTATGAAAGTTTTAAGTAATGATAGCATGAGGCCCAATCGTATTGAAAGACATTTGAAACAACAACATCCTACTCTGGTTTTGAAGACGGAAGAGTTTTTTTCTTCTAAAGCAGAATCACTCAAGCGGATGAGACTGGATAAATCGGGAAGTTATCACACACGTGTATCGCAGCATCTCAAAGCTTCATTTGAATTAGCTTTTATGATAGCACAGCAAAAGAAACCTCATAATATCGGTGAAGAATTAATAAAACCATGTATCCTGAAAGCCACGCAGATAATTTTAGGTAAAGATGCAGAGCAAAAACTGAAGTCTTTTATAGCAGACATAAAGTCACAAATAATTAGCAAAGTAAAATTATCGCCATTTTTGCCATTAGTTGCGATGAATCCACCGACATCGTTAAATCTGCACAGTTAATAGTTTATGTATATTCAGGGGTTCATATCAAGGCTTCAACTTTGGAATCAAGAAGTGTCTTCTGAAAATCTTATTTCTTTTTCTCGAATGTTCGAAGCAATTAAGAATAACATACTGGACGCAAATTTAAAACTTGTCATAAAAACTCATTTGAAAGCGCTGGAAGACATCAATTCAGAGTCACCAATATGGCACATGACAAGAAATACATTTGTTGTCGATGTCCACAATTACCAGACGAAGTTCAGGAAGAATTTCTAGGAAAGAAGGCTGATTCGTCCATGAAAGATGACTTCCATCTTTCAACATTGGAGAAATTTTGGATCAAAAGATTGCCTGTTAATTCGACACTTGCATCTCTTGCTCTACGAATACTAGTTCCTTTTCCTTCTCATTATGTGAGACAGGCTTTTCTGCTCTAGTTTTAATTAAAACTTAACAGCGGTATCGTCTTGATGTCGATAGCGACCTGATGATAGCACTTGGCAAAAACAGAACCTAGAATCAATCAAAACTGGTACAGAACATCAGTCTCAAGTGTCTCATTAGCACCTACTCTTAGTTTATTCAAGTTTTTCGATAAAAAACACTTATTAGTTTATTTGAACTTTTAAAGTTTCTTTATCAGAATTAAAATACAGGTCTTTGTACCTATATAATTTGCGTTTTTTTGTGTTTATTGAAAAAGTAAAGGGGGGCATGAAAATATAACTTATAGTCCGGGGAGCCTCAACAGAAAAAAGTTTGGGGAAATCCTGATCTAAATATACATTTAAATCTAAACATAATAATTCATTAGATCTAGGCAAATACTTTTACCTAAACTAATTAAACAAATTCAATAAGCCTCATTAAATTATTTTGCTTGGAGCAGGTAAGCATATTTTATTCGTACATTAATTTTAAATAAAAGAATGTAGGTACTCAATCTAAGTAAACTTAATGAAACGATTGAGTTTCAACTGTTGTAGAAATTGGAGTTTAATTAAACTAATTACCCTTGTTAGCTGTCACATAGTTAATTCAATTTTCAAAGTGGCTTAATTGAAACTTTACTTGGTTAGACTCAATTTTTATTCTGAGTGTCGTATTGGGTATTTCAATAATCGGGAAGTTATTAGGAAACGGCAGTAGTGTAAGAAACGCAACTAATGAACGTTACCTCCTTGCTACCCCCTCAAACCAAAATGGACCAATCCGCATAGCAAACCTGTTTCCATTATTTTGCATTCAGTTTGACATCACGCTAGAGTATTTCCAAAATATAACTCCGACCAGTTAGAAAAGTTGCTAAAGTAATAGAGATCTGTTTTGTTTTCCACAGCTATCTAATGTACTCATATTTATGGGAAAGTAATTTTTTTAAATCAGAGATTTTCTGGTAGGATCTCTACGACTTGGCATGCTCCACTGTTTAAAAAGTTTTCGCGGTTCACACATTCCCAGAATAGCTTCTGTTGGAGCTTTTTGTGGTTTCCAACAGATTTCTGTAGTAAACTCGTATGTATATCTACAGACACTCCTGAGAAAAATTCCTGCGGGCGCTTATGGTTATCTCTACGCCAGTTTTTCAATAGTACGAGTCACCAAAATGATACAGAGCGCCAGTCGCTGGATATAGTGATGTAAAATTGAATATTTTGTGTTAGTAGTGCTGAAAATTCATACATTGCTTGAGAATCCCATTATTGATCTCTTATATTACACCTCTCTCCAATGTCCGCATCAAGAAATTAAAGTTCTCAACCAATAACGGCTCAAACAAGCTTAAGAGTCATTGCAAAATAAACTAATCTTGAAATACTCTTCCAGCTCTTAGGTGGGAAGGTTTTATCTTATATGCTTGCCAACCCCAGAAATAATGATTCTTAACCGAGTCTTTGTCATGGTAGTTGACCATTCTTTGCATGTTAATTGTCACTTATCAGACATGATTTTGGAAAAAAAACTCAGAAAAGTTGTCTCGCCTCATCTATTTCGCAGCGTCTGGAATATCGCGAAAGTCATTAATTGATCAATTTGGAATAAGTAATTGTAGCTGACAAATTCCCAACATTTTCCTCAAATCCTAAAATCCAAAGTTCGCATTTTGTCAATCTAAGATGAATTCAAAAACTTAATTGCCACATCTGGCAGCGACGCAGTGGTTCCAAAGCGAGAAGCTGGGCTGAAAGTTAAGACGTCTGATAGATCCTAGCATTTCAAATGGTTAAATATTCTGATTCGAAGTTTTTGCATAATATTATTCAAAAAGTACCCCTTTTTAACAAATCTGTATGTTGCCAGGTCAACTTTGCGTCAAAAATATTTTAAACAATTTTTTTAAAGATCCCATTAATATTCTTTTCGCCCACGTCAACGTCTTTTAGTTCTTTAATGAAATTATTAACAAAAAATTAGCCTGAATACTTTTCTCTAAAGTGGACAGTTTTCTAAATATAAGCGATACGATATATAAAAAAGTGCAAAGCACACTACTCAAAAAAATAGGGAGCAGGAAAAAGTCAAAATTTTTTAGTGATTATTGACAGGTTGTATTTCAGTGAAAAACAGTGGTATAATAACATTGTTATGGAGGTATCTGACTTTGAATGAAAAAAGATCCCTTTGTCATCGACCACTGATATCTCGCGTAACCAGTGATCACCCAGAGAAGGGTATTTCCGAAAACTGGAATAAACCTTCCATAAGGCTTGATTGCAATTTTTGAGTATATATATTTTGTTTGTTTCCTTTGATCTTAATAAAGTCAAAAAAGTAACTTTGTGCCTTATTTTGAAAGGCTTCCACATTTTTGGAACTGCTAATGAGAAGGGTAATGCTTTTTGTTTTTTTTATACCTCAATATACCCCTGATAAACCTACTCGACGGCAGATCGTTCCATTGTACGGTTTCTTCGGACCGATTGTCAAAATTTGAGAGAAAACAAAGGAGCAAAAATTTTGTATACAAATTTCCTGTAATCTTGTTGAAAATGAAAAATCCATTTTTCTTCTTTTAGTGTCACTACTGGATATCAATAACAACTTAGCAATTGGCAAAATTTTATTCTTCTATTCATGGAATGCTCCAAAAAACGAAAATACTAACCAGGGGTTGATCTGGAAAATACTCATTGTCGGGTTAGGATGATGATAATTACATTGTCAGTGACAAAAGTATTCTATGTGAGGACTAGGTGATTGATAGAAATACTTAAAATATCATTTAGTACTAATAAAACAGACACTCTTAGAAAACAACATAAAAATCGTTGTAATTTAATGTTAATGCAACTTGACACTGAACTTGGGATCTGCGGCCACCATCGAACACAGTAATTTATTACTTTCGTGGCTCCTCCATAGATATATCGCAGCGGTGCGATGTTGCCAGATTGTGGCAGAGCAATCCCTAGATATCTATAAATGCTTGGGTGGCTAATCAAAGAAGGAAGAAAATATTTCGTAAATCAAATCTATCTGAATGCATACAGAATGAAACTTCTTTAAACAACTTTTTTAATCCCAAAAGAGCTTTTAGAAACTTTTCTCGAAATCTGGTCGTTTAGAGCTGTAATGTTAAATGCTTAAAAACTAAGTCAAAAACTATTATTTTTGAGGTTGCCATGTGTCAAAGTTAAAGCTAAAGCCTTGCTAGGCCGAAATTGACATCTTGATTTTCGCAGACTGCACTATTATTAGACAGAATATCCGACACAAGAATTGCATTACCACTTTCTGGATCCTATTTACGGATTATCCATGATGAGTTAACGGATGCAAACTTGGCGGGTGTTCTACGCAGTTCTGAAGATTCGAATAAGGTGAGAGTTATTCAGACGACAGCCAGGCTTACAAGTATTTGTGGTGATCGTCCGAAGACTTGAAACTCGGCAACCTGATTTGGACATATACTTATACTTCATATAGTCAGAAAAGGGTCGATGTTATGTTTGGTACTCCATATAGAGTCAGCCCTATATGGATACAAGTTGGTGATTGTCCATTTTTTATAATTGTACTGTCTCTACCTCATTTATGGAAAAAAATGTTTACGTAAAAATTGACAAGGAAAAAGAAACAAGAATATAGAGTTAGACTTACACTGAAATGTCGGAAATTGTAAACATCTCGTCAACCGTAGCTACAAGAGACAAATCATTCAAAATGTAGACAGATCCATTTTCGTTTTCCCGATTTATTTATAAGTCGCAGTTGAGAAGTATTATAAAAAAACTAAATTTCAAAAGGTACACGCATTGGCTGGAAACGATGTTCAAGTTCCTGATCACATGGAGCTAAGGCCATTGCCAAATAGGCACTTTATTGGTATATATTTAGAGCTTTGTTGACGTTTAGCTTCATGCATGGGAACCACGGTGTCTGTATGATAAACACTTATTAAACATGTTATATACAAATTTTGCGAAATTGTAATCATGTTGGTATTTCCGAATAAGTAATTTGGATAGTTGTAGTCACCGTTCTTGGCGGTTACGTTAGCAGCGCCACATTAAATAAGTGAACAGACTGCGTCTCCATACCATGGACGGAACACTGCGCAAACTAATCTATAGCGCATCTGCTACTCTCTCCAGTAAGCATGAAGTGAGTAACAGGGTACCGCTGTTTTCATTCTCTTCCTGGAAATACTCTAATACATTTAGCACGAGCTGTCGGCCTTTTCCATTTCTGGTATTTTCGAGCATTGTACAATGTTATATTGAAAATTGATAACAGGACAACGCGATTTGCACGCCGATGTCAAGTAATTGAGACAGAGATATATGAAGGGGTACTGGTAGTCTTACTTTGACCCTACAAGGACGGTGACTACAACTGTAATAGATTTACCTATGTTTGAGTTGCTTACTAACCTTGTCGATAAAATTTTCACGACGGCATCATTATAAAGCGTTCACTTCAATTTGTAACACCCTGTGTCATCTAATAGTGATGTATGCAAAGTAGTGAGAATTATGCGAAAGACATGCCAAGACAATACAGCAATCACTACT